CCCGTCCCCGCCCCCGTCCCCGCCCCGTCCCCGCCCCCGTCCCCGCCCCCGCCCCCGACCCCCGCCCCCGCCCCCGCCCCGCCCCCGCCCCCGCCCCCTGCCCTGCCCGAGTACCCTCTGCAAGCATGGGCAGGACAATTGTCTTCAGTTGTATCATGAACACTCATACTAGATGATGGATTAATTATAAGAAGGTTGGTTTTACCCAAATAGCTGTTAGTCATTAACCTAATCATCATGACCAGATGAAACCCAAGATGTAGACTATCATGTCATCCAGGCAAGATTACTTATGGCCTTCATTGTTGTCCCATTTATCACCATGCCAGAGCAAAGTATAGATTCACCTTCCATGTGTTGCTTATATTTATAGGTACTACATTACTAGGCTGCCTCTTGAGAGTTTTATATCTGATTTACAAAAAATTTAAACTGTCATGGCTATTTCATAATTCTCATCCAAACATCAACAGGGAATTTAGACCATCATTTTAGTCATTGAAATCTACTTCTACAAAAATAAACTTGTTCCAAAATTCAAAAATAAACTCTATTTTTTTTTAAAAAGAAACTTATGGCATTTTATGTCGTACGTATTTTGCTGGAATTTTGCTTTGTCGATGCTACTTTTGGATGCCTCCTCATGATTTAGGTATAGCTCTCATTTTGAGTAGCCTTCGTTTATGCTTTCTTTTTATGTGTTCATATCACTGCAACCAAATTTCAGGGAAAATAAGTATGTTCCGTGTACTAATTTGTTTTCGAAATATCTCTAGTGTTGATTAAGTACAGCTAATCAATTCGAAGCTTCCTGCTTCCTGCTTCCTAAATCTACAACTGTTTGTGCTGAAAGTTGAATGGTTCATGTGGAATTATTTGTATCGGTATGTTTATCAAATGGGTTTCTAGACTGGAGAGTAATATATGCAATGGACTTTTCATGTGGTAGTAAGGATGTTATTTGTTAGATAAGAAGTTTTATCAGCACCTTTGGAGTTGCATATCATTTTTTTTTTTCTCTCGATATGAATGCCATGTAATTCCCACTTTTCTTTATTGGTTTCCTAGTTGTAATAAGTTATAGCACATAGTAACAGTTACTGGACTTGCAGTATTTTTTTTCTATGAATTTTTCTCAAAGTGCTTGCTATTTCTCCTTCTGTTGAAACTTCTTATACTCTCTTTTTCTTGTATTGGAGTTTGCTTTGAAACTTCATAAACTTCTGAACATATTGATGGGCTTGTTCAGGTGGTATGCGAAACGGTTTCTTCATCCTGACATTGTTGCCCCATTCGAATACATATTTATCTGGGACGAAGACTTAGGAGTTGAAAATTTTAATGCAGAAGAGTAAGTGCTCTCTGTTTGGACTTCATACTTAAGGAGTAGCCACCAGCTCATGGGACTGCTCATACTAGTGTTTGTTTTCTCAACTTTATGCATCGGCTCTATTATTTCTCAATGACTTTTGCGGGTCCTTGTACATAGTGCATGCTTGGGTTCTCATTGTAGATTTCTAACGTATTACATGAAGATTTGTTTAATAAGCTATATTTTGTGACCACATGAAACAGATATCTTAAGCTTGTGAGAAAGCATAATTTGGAGATTTCACAACCAGGGTTGGCAGAAAATGATGCTTTGACATGGTTTATGACTAGGAGGAGGGTAGATGTGGAAGTTCACATGTATGAATTGCAATATTTTCTTGATACAAATTTAAAACCGCAGTAGTGATGCAGATACTCAATGGCCTTGTCATGCAGGGAAACAGAGGAACGGCCTGGTTGGTGCCATGATCGACATCTGCCTCCATGTGCAGGGTAAAGATTACTTTTGTAGCATTTGGCACTTGATGATTTCTATGAAAGGATATGCTTGGATGCATATGCAGTTAAAAGGAAAAAAAAAAGAAAATAAAACATATAACAGTGTTATTCTGATATCAGATGTTTTTGATAGCATGTTGTTTATTTACCCAGTAATTGTCATAAATTTATTCAATTGACTCTCACAGCGTGTCAGAATACTGTAGGTTTGTTGAAATCATGGCTCCAGTTTTCTCTAGAAGGTCATGGCGTTGTGTTTGGCACATGATTCAGGTCTGTGAATGGCAGTTGCATTGTATGGTACATTAGTGTCCTTAAATATGGTGATCTTATTGCATGTTGAAGGTTTACTTTAGTGTTGACTTTGATAGCTTTGATGCTGCAGAATGATTTGATACATGGTTGGGGTTTAGATCTTGCTCTGCAGAAATGTGTGGAGGTAAGTGACCTTGTAATTAGCTGGATCTTTATGTATGTTTATATCATAAAATTTCAAGTGCTTGATAATTGCTTTTACATGCTCCGAATGACTGTTTTCTAGAAGTTGAGAGTCCTTCCTGAATTGGAACCAGAGAGTGATTTCTTTAATACGGTGAATTTCTATATCCATGCTTATTTGTATTTATTGTAGATAGAGTTTTACTCATAGTTGACACTGTTTTTCGTATCTCCTGGATTATGATTATTTACGATATGAAACTGTCACTAATAAGTGGATGAAGAGTTTAGCAACCTTTTGTTTGATCGTTTGTCAATTCTCACTTGAAATTTGACCATACAATCTATCTCGCGGGGTGAGGATATGCTGGCAGAACTAAAGGATATTATCACACAGCAATCTTCAGTAATTAGAATAAGAAGCTTACTAACACTCAATACTATGTCATGCTCTGACTTTAACACTGTTTTTTATATCTTCTCGATTATAATGGGTTAGGATATGAAATTGGAATATTGCTAGTATGTGGATGAAGTGTTCAACAATCTCTTTCAGTTGATCATTTTGTCGATTGTCCTGCACTTTAAATTTGGACCTACAATCTGTTTTTGGGGGCAAGGATGTGTTGGCAGAATTAAAGGACATATTCCTGTATCAATCTTCAGTAACTAGAATAGAAGCCTTCTAACACTTATGCAGTTATGGTATAGTGAAATCAATGTTACAGTAAAATGATCGTCCCCGAATTATCGGGATTCTCCTAAATTCTATGCATGTGATGGCTATGCCCTTCTATGGAAAACATGAAACCCAATTTACAAGCTTTGTACAGTACCATTCATGCATTGTCAAGTTGATTATGTAAGTTCAAAAAGTAGCTGTTTGCCAATTAAGACAGTTCAACAATCTATGAATTGTGGAATATTTGGACATTTGATGATTTTGATGGTGAACCTTATGAAGTAGCAATCAACCTTAATGACATTTATATATGCTAACGAAATTCCAGAGAAAACCATCTTTCTTAGATGGTTAGGCGTGAAGATTGCTTTAATGTGTACCGCTCTTTTGCAGCTTCTTGCGAATGTTTCAAAGAAAAATATCAGCTTATCCTGCATATTTTGATTCTAAGAAAAGTACACCGGAATTATGGCTGAGGTGTATTGAAATGCATTTCATGCTTTGGCCTGCATATGTTTGCTAAGGCATTCAGACTCTGTCCCAGAAAATAAAATTCCTTACATCATGAGAACTGAAGTTGATGCAAACAGAAGTTGCAATGAAAAAAAACATGAGATTTCACAGACCCTAACTAGGGCTCGGGGAAAGTAATCCCAGCATGCAGATAATTTTTCGGTCTCCATAGTCTGCCCCTCCAGAATTTTCATTCTTCATTTATAGAGATTAAAGTCATAGCTTCTTTTGACAACATTTGAATTTACTAGACAACTAACAACCACCTTCTTAAATGCGGTATATTCCTAAAGACATGCAGTCAAGATTCAATGGGACTTGTTGACCAATGTAACTAATGTATGAAGTGCAAATACCATAAGTGAAGTAGTACCAGGGGAATCACACTATATACAGAATAAAAATATTTAAGAAGACTATACATAATCTTCGGCTGAACCTTGGAAAAATCCAGAATTAATACATACTAGAAGATTGCAATTACAATAGTCTTTGACATACAATAACGACCTTACAACTTGAGCATTGCTCTTTTATAATTTAATTGAGACAAAGTACATCGAAAGAAAAGACTAAAGAAGTAAAACCTTGGCTCACATGAAATGAGGCGAGCACAGTCCTACTGACCATGACTAGAGGAAAGCCCTAAACCCTTTCAGTTCACAGTATGGTCCAAGAACTTCGTCTCGTTCAATCAGCATTATTTTGGCTTATCCGAATCCCAGTACCGAAAGATTCCGATTGTCACTATGTTCTTGGTCACTCCCATTGTGACTCTGAATAGTATTGGCATTGCACACAAAGCCTTGAAAGGCCATAATTCCAACAATAAGATTAAAAGCTTCAACTAAAAAATAAGAGACATAACTAAGCCATTGTTACCGGTAGTGGGAGCAAGTTGAGCTCTGGGATTGGAAGCAAGAATAAGGGAGTGAGGGAGGCTCGAAGATCTGTAGTTGAGGGAACGAGTTCCATACATCTTGAGGTAAAGTGATCGAGATCCCTTACACTAAGAGAGTGCATTCCATAACTGCCCATGAGTGAATGCTAAACTGAATGGGATCACTACCCATCAAGCTTAAGATTGAGGCTCGGCACCCAAAGATCACTTATCCATTCTATGCTTGTTTGGGAGCGAATGTTGTTGAAAAATTATTTAAATACGTTTCACTTCAAAAAATTACTCCTATGGGTCCTTACAAAAATTGCCACAACTACCTACGTTGGTCTACTGTTGTACACACATGACCTTATTTTGGGCACCAATCATTGGATTGGACGATTCCCCCTCTACTATTGATTGATGATTATACTTAAGAATGTTGCGATAGATTGTTTGCAGAAAAGAAATAATGCGATAGATAAGCTTTCCTTTTGGAAAAAAAAAGGAATGACATTTTACTAGGATTTCAAGTACATATAAACGAGAGGTCTCATATTTCCAAGCATATAAGTTATTCCATACGTATAAGGCAACCCTATTAGTGGCTCAATTTGGGTGACCAATGGTCAAGTGATAGAAGTCCTTCAAGAGGTGGATTGGACCCAATGAACTAGCCCCACAAGGAAACAAAGCCTATTGATCATAACCTCATTCCTCAAGTAGAACTGCAACTCAACTATATTTTCTATCTCCTTCCTTCTTCTTTGTTCTCTCTCCCTGCCCTCGCTTGTTGCCTTTCTTTGAAACTAGTCACAAGTCACGTTTCACAATGTGGGTAAAGTTCTAAACTCTAGAATATGTAGGAAATCAGGTCTTCAGAAAGTTTATAGATCAAGAAAAATTAGAGATCCACGCTTCATTGTATATGAACCTGAAAATGTGTTGGTGTAACTTGCTCCGAAAGTGAAACATACTTGATTCCGAGTTGGTGGAATCTGATTGCTTGATTTCCCGTATTGAGATCCCTAAATCAAGAACAAGCCCAGAATCGAGATCCTGCGTTTGGAGTGCAGGATCATGCTTGCAGAGTGGGAGCGATCCCCTCCTTAGAAGATCTTGTTAACTATGAACTAAACTACCCCCATAATAAGTCAAAATGCCTAAATTGCCCCTATGATACCAGCAAAGATGAAAAGACCAAATAACCTTGAATGAGTTTAGTCCTTTAGTACTATGTTAGAGGGATATTCCTTTTTCGTCATTTTAGATCCAAAAAAGTCACAAAATATAAAGGTAGTTGAGTTTATTCAAACCTAAACTAACTTCATGCGTTCTTTTCTCAGCAAAATATGTAGTTTTAGGGTTTTGTGGATGAGAAAATCCATTTCTCACCATTCTTTGTAAAAACTTTTGAGTTATGCAGCTCTAAAGAGCATTAACCTCTAGGATTTTTTGCTGTTTTTTTCTCTTTTCACAATACGTCTCTAACATTGAACTAGAGGTTTTAAAACCACGTATAGCTTCTAATTGAATTGCAAAGGGAAAGCTTCTTTTGTGTTTTCTGGTAGATTTCTTTTATGTTAACTTCTTATACCAGAATTGAGCTGATGACATCAAGTTAAAAAATAGGCATTTAAGTGGCTGGCCTTGGGGTTTGGGAATAATTCCCTGAAAGTTGTATAGGGTCTTTTGCCTTGTAATTTTGACATGGATTTGTACCTGTTGTGGTTCGTTGTTAGTTTTTGTCAACTAAGAGGAGGTTCATTTTTCAGGCTAATAAGACAGTTTAGAATCTGGATTTACAGAAAGATATGTTCTTGTCATTATTTTGTTTTACAGCAAGCATGTGTTGTTGTGTCTTCTAGTCTAAGGAAATGTACCCAAAAATGTAGTACAAAATGAACCATAGTGTTGGAAACTCCTTGATTGAATTTGTTTGTGTTTATACCCAAGGCTAATCAAGAGAAGATTGGAGGTTGTATTGGTCCAAAAGATTCTAGTTTGAACCTATTCCATCAAATAGGCCTTCCAACTACATAAATTTTAAAAAGCAAGAGAATGGGCTGGAGCCTGGCGGTAGTGCGTCGATATTCCAGGATGAGGTCCCAGGCTCTATTCTTACCTGTAAACATTCAAAAAAAATTTTAGGAAGCAAACGATTAAAGAAAAATGAAAACAATTAAGAAATTCAAAAAAATAGATTTTACACGAGACCGTTTCTTCAGATAAAAAATGATATTGCTGTTGAGTTTATGTGGCCTTTAAAGGCATAGACACCATTGATGATTTATAGTTTTTGACTCCAATAGGAGTATGAGGCCCAAAAGGGACACAGATGACTTTCCAGGCTTTATGGTTTGGGGCCTGGGATTTGGTGTCACATTAAGTCTTTAAAACCTTAGATCCACTGGGCATGGGCTTCATGCCATGTCTTAGCAATGGGAGTTGTCCCTTGGTTGAGGTCGGCTATAGCCTAGTGGACATTTTTTAGCCAGGCATTTGTTTTATGCAATGAGGCTATGGTTTATGATGATTGATTTATGATGTGATTATGGCCATATGTGGGTAGGCTTAGGCCAAGATGAGGGCCTAAACTCTCCATACTTGCCAACTCACAGCATGTGCATATGACAACTAGTTTTGGGAAGCAGCCATTCTAGTTGATCCACTGGATAGGAGCATGCACATGTGCTTGAGAGAAGAACCCCTGCATCTGCATAATGGTGCTCATGCTTCTTGTCCATAAGGGGATGCGCTTGTAATCCACTTAAATCTTGGGATATTTTCAAGCCCTTACTATGCCCTCATGATCTCCTACCATGATCCATTGTTTTGGAACCAAATTGGTTTAATTTTGGTATCATGCATCTAGTTTTTCTACATCAATTTATTTGCAGAAAAATCAGTCCCGTACGTGATGTTATTTGGGCATTTAAAGCTTCCTTGCGCTTCCCATTAACCGAAGCAATGGAGCCCAGATCATTGAGCTATGGGGTTTGGAATTCTAGTATAATAAGACTCGGGAGGTAATCAAAGCTCTTGATTTTTGGCTTCCCATGGCTTTTGCAGTCCATGCACGTATTTGTTGAAGTGTTTGTAATAATGAGATTCCATTTGGAGTTCTAAAAGATTATGTAAGTGTTTGATGCAATTCAATGAGAATTGTACATTGCTGAATTTTGTCTTAAAATTGTTGAATTGTCTTGTATGTATGCAATCTCATGTTGTCCAAATGAATGGAAATGGTTATTATGATAAAGAGGTGTTTATGATCCCCCAATCTTGCTGTAAATTGTATTGAAGAGATATTTATGAGTTAGAGGTGCCGTACTTTTGTTTAAAAGTATATGAAATTAAGGTGTATATGTTTTTGTGCGAAACTTTTAAATCGGTGTACACTAAAAGACCGGTATCTACGCTGATGATTGTAAGTCATCTTTGTGTTCTTCAAGAATCAATTGAGCTCTTTTTGCACTTCCATCTTAGCTTGATATCTCCTTACTTCGTGATTAATGATTTCCACTGTCCTTTAAACTTATCTTGATTTCCATTGAGTTAAATTATCAGGACGGTATTGCTGCATCATCTTCATGTTTATGTTTGATGTTAGTTGTCTGGCCTCTGAAGGCCAAAACGTAGGTTTCCAACCACATAAGTGCTTGTGAACCCCAAATGCTGATTTATTGTTAGAAACAGATTTCTAATTGTTTCAAGCTGACCATCTAACATTTTCATCTATTGAGCCTTTGCAGCAAACCCTATCGGTTGAAAGCTTGCTAGGAATCCACTAATCTTGTAGTTGATGGTTACGTATCCTTTCTTTCTTGCTGCAACTCTCTCCAACTCATCAATTTTTTTTTCACCATCTCTACAATCCATTGTGGTAATTACTTGGAAATGACATTCAAACTATGGGATGCTTCATGGGACATAGCTAGCTATCACCTAATCGTACTCAACTACAACACCTTTTCCCAAACTGAGGCTGGTACATAATATTTGAAGAGAAGACCACCAAGGAATCTGTTTCTAAACTTGATCTTTAAGTAGTTAAAATGAATTATGTGCAGATTATTTTTGAGGAATATAACAGAATGTCTCAAAAAAAATAAATTAGGACATCAAATGGCAGGAATACATTGATTGAACCCCAAAGTTCAAGTAAAAAATTCTGCACACTGAAAACTGCAACTTTCTGGACAGATAAGAGGCAAAATTTCATTGATATCTGCCGTGAAGTCTGAGTCACCACAAGATTTTCACAAGAAAAATCAGCCTGATCAGAGAAGAAATCATTGCCCTGAGAAATCAAGAATAAGTTGAGTATGAAAGCCAGACTTGTACTCCTTGAATGCTTCTGTTCCATTGGTTCATGAGATGAACATTTCTCTGGATTCCCTTCTCTTGTTTGTTTATGTACTCAAGGAAGATGCTCTCCATTTATCTTCGCAAAACCCCTTTTAACATGAATGTAAACCATGTGATATTCAATTACCACTGAATGTCACGTCGGACCCACTTTGGCATGGAAATGCTTTCCACTCTTTATTCTGAAAGTAACTCCATATCACCTGCAGTGATCAAAATCTGATAGGACTTCTTGTGCTACTTTTCTCCTGCAAATTTTATTTCCATGCTAAATTGATTACAGTGACCTAGTTGGATGCTTGGTATAAAAATATCAAAATACAAATGGTATCCGTTTCCTTGTTAAGGATCTCTCATTTTGAGCAGGGCGTTCGAAATTTACACATGAATGAAGTCAAGTCTATGATTTATTTGTAGTACCTGTGAAGTTTGTGCAGTCAGTTTTCAATATGGCAGCACATATACATAGATCGCAAATATCTGTATGATTTGGCTCTTCCATTTGTATCATATGGTAAGAAAGTACTATAGTATGACATTATCTGGATTTTCGATATTGCAAAGTTGCAGCCTGCCCATGAGAAGATAGGTGTTGTTGATGCGCAGTGGATAGTCCACAAGGTCTTGCCTTCACTGGGAGACCAGGTAAATTTTCTTTACTTCATTTTCAAAGCCTGTCTATGCCAATACAGTACTAGAAAATATGTGAATATATCGGTGTAGGTTCACTTGGGTTTTAGTAATCTTGAATCTTGTTTCTCATGGTGCACATTTGATGCATTTTGTGGTTACACATCATAACTATAATGTCAATAATAGTGAAAACAGTAGTAATACTGATGCTAGTGGTAATAATAAATAGAAATATTTCTGCTTCTCTAAATCTGGTGTCTTACAGGGTGACGCGAAAGATGGAAGGCAGCCTTGGGAAGGGGTAAGAAACCAGTTCCTCCAGTTTATTTGCATTTCTTTTCTGTTGCACCAAAGGAAATAAGCTTTTACATGCTATATTCAGGTGCGGGCTCGGTGCAATGATGAGTGGGCAGAATTCCGAATTCGAATGGATAAAGCTGAAAAGGAATACTTCAATAAAAGTGTTTGATTGCTGCACTTTTGGCATTTTGTATCACCGATTTGAGTATGCGATGGTACAGTTAGTTTTTAGCCATCTTAATAGAAATTGCAAGCTCAAAATTGTTTTATTGTAACTTGTTCAACCTTAGTGATACCTCATTGGGGTAATATGTTTCATTTTTCATGTACATCGTCTTTTTTCTTTTCTTTGCCTTCTATCCATTAATCCCCTCGTCTCCCATCCTCCAATCTAGTTGATCAATGTGGCTTACATCGTGAGGACCACAAGATTTAATACGTAGATTCACAAACTTAATATGTACACAAAAGCATTTGCAAGTGGACTGTTGATCATGTGCCAAAATGCGCCAACAAGGTTTATTTGATGGAAAATTCACATCAAAGGGAATGGAAACTAAGACACATACAGGTGATTCTCATCATGGGGTACACGAGGGAGTATTTGTTAAAACTAGACAAAACTCTAAATAGGACACTTCCCAAGGAATAAATGAAGGACCCCAATTTTTTTGTAATCCATTTGAATTCATTTATGGACATTTGATAATAGGGAAATGTTCTCATGTTTTCCTACGTATTGTTGCTTTCCCCATTTATTGAAGGGAAAGCTACAGAAAATGAAAAAAGTTGATCATCTACCCATCCCCATCTTTCTCCAAAAGCTGGGAAACTCATACTCCATGGGGTGTTGTAGAGTGTGGGTTTCTCAGAAAGGGGGAAGAAAAAAGTTTTATCCAAGGAATAACCCTAGAAGCCTGAGCTTGTGCTTAAGCTTATGTCTCTCTCCTCTTCTCTAGGTCATCTGATGTTCACTCTTTGCTTTCTCTCTTTTCACTCCACAACGATCACTCTCCTCTATGTGCTTGTCTTCCTCTTCTCTCTCTACAAGAACTGCATTGTTTTAGCCATAAATGCTCAAGGATCGTATCTGCCACAACTAGGGATTCTTGAAATTATCTTGAATCCCTCGGATCTCCCTGTTGAAGGTATGCCACCTTCTCTTACATGACAAGTGTTATTTAATTGAGGATATTACTATAACGGTTACTGTCCAGGTAAATAAAGGAAGATGTCACAGATAGAATTAGAGCTGTGTAAGTGAAGTGGAGATGTGTAACCAGAGTTTTATTTGATTGCTGCAGATCAATGAAGTTAAAAGGGAAGTTCTATAGGACAGTTGGGAGAATAACTTTGTTTTATGGGATAGAATATTGGGCAGTCAAGAAACAACATACTCATAGGATGAGTGTAGTTGAGATGATGATGTTGACATAGATGAGTGGCAAGACAAGAAGGGGTAGAATTTATTTTAAATACATTTTGGAGAACTTAGGCGTAACTCCAATAGGTGATAAGATGAGATAATGTAGACTTACTTGGGTTGGGCTGGGCATGTGCAGCGTAGACCCAGTCCAACACTTGTTTGGAGGTATGAGTTTGGTCAAGTAAAACCATAAAAAAGAAAAAGGGGTAGGCTTGAATGGATATGGTTGGCAGTAGTGAGAAAAATATGGGGACTTTTGGCCTCACTGAAGGAATGACTCTTTATAGAGTAGAATGGTAGACTAAGATTCGTGTAGCCAATATCAAATAATTGGGAAAAGGCACTAATGATGATGATGATAACTGTAACTTATACTTTAATTATAGTAATATTTGTTGTACTTGCATAGTTGTTTATTGTAATATTACGATAAATATGAACCATTATGTAATGTTCGAGTTTAACATAATGCTTACTTGGATTAATGTAATGTTATAGTTGATATTACTTGATAGTAATGTTTACTATGATATGGCAGTAATTTCTACTGTAATATTACAATAATAATTATTGTAATCTTGGAGTGGATGTTTATCATGGAAGGTTCAAAATTCCTATTTCAACCAAGGGAAACAAGGAAAGCTTTGTATCTTGTCACCAATCCAGCCTGTAAAATGGTGGAAAACAGTCAATAGTGATCTGACCAACTAGCTCCATTATTGATTTCCTGAGTAAACAAATTCATAAGTGGGCACATCTTTTTGCAATAGAAAATATACATCAAAGCTGGTCAATGTTCAAAAAGATATACAAAACCATATCGGCAAGGTCTCCTTTTGTTTCTCTATTACTGCTTTCCAAGTACTCATAGGAAGTCCATATGGAAGCTATGAAATGCACATGCCATAAATCGATGTCTTCTCTTATGGTCATGTACTCCCAATAACATACAAGGAGTGTGAAAAATGAGAATGAGGAGTTCTCCACCAAACAGTCACGTTTGCCTCATGCACCCTTAGGCCTTTGCATGTGCACGAGTTGCATGTACTGCACATGCTCTTCTCTCATTTGTTCTCTGAATACAGGTCTAGAGTTACTTTTATATATTTGACTCTAATTCATATTCTTTAGTGTGGGACTCAAAACCTATCTTATCTCTCTTTATAATAAATGCAATTTAGAAAACTATTAAATCTGATTTTATATTGTTTTGAAAATTCTAAATCATTTTTTGACACAAAAAATATTAACAAAGCCTCTACTTATTTCAATATAATACTAAAACAATAGGGACACCTATTATTTACATATGATGAATGTGTCTTTCAACTTGAACATTCACTTAGTATATGTGCTAGAAAGATCCATCAAGTTCCTCGGTCACTTAGAATTTTGAACAATGACCTTATATAACAAATCAATAATGCAACGCATGAATAATATATTTTCTGTCAGCATATTTTGTCCTTGTTCTTATATCACGGTTTGATAAGTGCCCTAGAGACAGGTCTGATCTCATGGGAAGCAACCTTACGTCTACACTTTCATAGGTGGGTTCCTCAGATGTGATCCTGTATTTAAAATATCCCAATTTATACAATTGAAGATAAATTTTATGAAGAACTTCAGTGAACCTACTTACATATAAGTCATCGTTAGATTTATCCAATTTTTGTATACCACTAGAATAAACAATATCCATAGTGTTATATCTCATGATCTACTAATCACTCTAAACAACTTGTTATGAGCCAATGAAACTAGTATTTGTGGTTCAAAGGCTATGTTGAGTTCCCACTATTGCTCATTGATGGCTTTAGCTCCATTCTATTTTGGTGATTTCTAAATGTCTTCCCTAGTAAGGTTTTTCATCAAAGGATTAACCACAGTTTTCTTTTACTTTAACATATTCTGGACACATATTCCATGTCTTAATGTTAGGATCAATTTAAAGTAGCTACTAATATGGATTAATACGAAATCAGATTTAGATCAAAATCTCTCTTTGAACCTTAAAAATATAATCAAGTACTTCACATGTATAGGATTCAATCACAAAAGGAGTATAAACATATGCCTACAACTAAGGGCTCCTAAAAATTAAGAATCAAATGTCCAATTTATCATCCTACATTTCATGTTTTGCCATAATCATAAATCATAACAAAATGAACAAATTCAAAGTATGGAACGAACTCACCAATATGCTCAAATTAGGGCTTGTAGAGAATAAACAAATCGCCGCTTTTAGAACATCAAAAGCATGCCAACACTTTGCTGGAAATATTTGCAAGGTTGTTGGGTGCTCCCTTGTAACCAAGACACCTCTGAAATTTGTAGAAAGAAATTATAAGTAGTGAGAGAAAGGTTCGAACACCATAACTTTATCTCCCAAGCTATCTTCTTTTAGCCTCAAAATTCCAATGGGTGGGGATTTGGAGAATGAGTTTTCTTTTTCCTTTTTAACACTTTGCAAAAATGATACATGCAAGGTATATTATAATGAGGCAAGGGGTATTTTGGCTATAAAATATCATGCATTTTAGAAAAATTAAAAAGGGAAGAAAATAAACTCATGCCAACATTCTCTCACTATTTTTGACTTTTTTTTTTAATTATAAAAGCATCCACCAATTGGAATGGTGTGTTAAATCATAATCACTTGAGTTGAACATCCTCGAGTAATCCATAGTCCATCCACATATACATTCTATCTAGTCAATGGAATCAACCACACACTTTCCTATGCTTATTACACTTCATGAGGTATTGTGTGATCATTAACCATATTATGATCTTTAGGCATTGGCTTCTGGATTATAATACTCTCTCAATTGGTACTCAATAATACAAGTGTTAGACACCCTCATTGCCGATGCCATACACACGCCCATTACCAAAATTTTGATAGTTTATCGGTGTAGTGAGTTGTCATATAATCCCACAAAGAGATGCATCTCACTAAGAGATATTCAACTGTTGAAATATACATATTGGTAAATCACAAGGACAAACTACAAATGCCCAATCACTCATAAATGCTCAGAGCATCAGCCACACAGGTTTGTGGATCACAAAGAGACCATTGTGTCACTAATATACCATTGCATCCCTAAGATGCTCATGCCACACAGGCTAGTGGATCACAAAGAAACTATTGTATCATGAAGTTACTATTGCATCACTCAGGCCACACAGGTGTCATTGAGATAAAACTCTGAATGCCGCAAAGGCAAGTATCACATGATCGTCCAAAGGGTTAATACAGCTACCGAGGCTATCCATGATACTATATAACAACCACTAACGCTCCAATATGCTACTCAAGCATCAATATGCCACTGAGGTTAATATGTTTGTGACTCATCTATACATTTGAGTCCTATGGCAAGTAAACTTCTTATAAATGGGTCCACATGAGTACCCTTCGTTAGTGGATCTGTGATCATCAATTGAGTAGGAAGATAACTAACTTCTACTTCCTCTTTTTTCCACATATTCTCTTACAGAATGATATTTTTTCTTAATATGTTTTGACTTGCCATGTTACATTGGAT